TGAATATAAGAAACTCTGTGATTTTTAGAAATTCAAACATTTCTTATCATTCGCTTTATCTAATTGAATATAATAGCGATCAAGCAATTTCTTTTTTTTTAACCCTTTAACTTTTTCGAATTGGATTGTTTGGACCACATCAATCAAATATTTCTTTTTTTCAGTTTTCTAGACTTTTCATCATATTCATCATATCGTACTGATCGAATAAATAAATGTTAGGTATGTCTGTTTTTTATTTTTTTATTTTTTTTCGTAATATTTATTTTTTTTTCTGGAATTTTATTAATGCATAAAAATGCAAAATCTTAATCTCAGCAACTGATTCTGATGGAGACTACCAAAAACAAATCATAAAAACCTTGCAATTGAGAATGTTATATGAATTGGGTATATAAAACTGGTTCAGTATGATTCTCTTGAAGATCAATACGTTTAAATGTACTGTACTGGTACTATAATAGACATTATTTAGAACTAGTATGGTTAGTACGAATTTAAAGATATCTAACGAACATATGTTTATTTATCAAATACAAAAATAATAATTTATTTAATCTGATGTATTTTCCTTCAATAAAAAATTTTTTAAAAATAAAAACGACTGTATACATTTGTTTGATTGATTTCATCAATAATTCATTTTTAAATCGGAATAAAAATTTAATTTTAAAAATTGCGATGCAAATGTCTAGTCACGGGACTAGTACGAAATAATCACACTATAACAGTTTTATAATATTAAGTCTATATTACCACCACCAGTTTTCCATTACTCGTATGAAAAATCTTAAATTCATCAAAAATTGAAAGCAAACCAATTAAATCAATCAAATGAATTTCAAATTCTTATTGGCTAATTTTCATTTTAGTAAAGGGTAAAACAAATCCCAGAAGGAATTAATGCAATTAATTTCAATTAATTCGTAAATATTAGCAAATTTAAAAAAAAAAGATGGTAAAAGCCTTGATTTTTAACTTTTGAATATATTGACGTTTTGACTTTCGATAATTTGGAAAGTAAGCTATTAAAATCACGTTACGGATCATATGATTTACTATGTTCATATCTCAATTTTAATAGCAACCTCTCATTTATTGATCTATTATAATTTTGATAGTAACTGTTACAATTACGATTAAATGCAAATTCCCGGCCGAAATCTTCATAATTTCGCTCGAAGATCGCTCTTGATAATTGCAGTTAGTCCCTTTGACGATCATTTGCCAGTTTGTCACGGTGCCAGTTTGTCAAGATGCCAGTTTGTCAAGGTGCCAGTTTGTCAAGACGCCAGTTTGGCTTAATTAAAGATCTTTTATAAATACGAGCCGGAAATACTAAAACAGCTCAATATTCCATGCTAGTCTTTGGCATATTTCTTTGAAAACATTCCCTTCGCTATCTTCCCTTTACACCTTCGCGATATTTTCGATTTTCGCTCTTTTAATTTTTTATAATTTCGCATTTTGTAACACATTTATTATTTTATTTTAATTCCCGATTTTATTAGTAGTTTATTATACAATTTTTATGTAACTAATTCGTAATTGCGTAGTTTTAATTAATTAGGACTTAGAAATTGGCATTTACTTAGTTTTATATATTGATTTAGCGAAAGTGTAGAGCGCCGACGTTGAGGCAACACTGATTAATTAAATTGATAATATTAAATAAATCCTTGTCAATATTACTTCATTTTTATTCAATAATTACTCAATTAATACCTTCTGCTTACATTACAAATTGTTTATAAATACATAGACGAAAGAACTGAATACAACAGTACACACACATCAAATTCTAAGAGAATTGCCTGTAATTTTATTCTACTGGAATTTTCATTTTGATTGTTCTAGAATAGGATGAAAATTAGAACACTTTTAATGTTTTATCCTAATATACTATAATATAAAAATTGAAAGAAATAAGTAAGGTCATATAATCTCTCATCTCTTCTCAGGAAAAGGATGGAATGTATTTGTTTCAATTATTAGGTTTATCATTGTAAAGAATTGCCCAATAGGAGCTATGCTATTAATACGATAATATTCATTCAATTTGATACCGATAATATACAGTATATTATGCAAGTGAAAGTGATGTCATATACCTATTAAATAAATATAACTTTTTTTACCTTAAAATTATCTCAAAAGGAATTCACGACTTGTATTTATTCCCAAAAATATCTAAATCACTAATTCATAATATAATTTTGTCTTGATTTATTTGTCATGAAGAATGTTTAAAATAAATCCTTATAGGTCGAGAGAATCTTGGCAATATATACTGTAGGATTAACACATGAGATAGTATTGTTATCGGTTAATTGATTAAGGTCATAATGGCAAATATAGAGAAGAACTTTTATTTGACAAAATTCTTCCCATTGAGATCCATTAATCTGAGGTGAAAGTCTTAGCCAAATGCGCACAATATTTTCTTTTTTTGTTGTTTCTATTGACCTCTCTAAAAGTAATTTTAGGTGAAGCTGGAAGAGCGAAACATCTTCAAGTTCAGCAGGTCGATTCCAGTACTTTTGTAAAGGTAATTATACTGTTTGTCCCATTTTATCATCAGCTAAAAATCTTTCTTCATTATCATTTCCTGTTTCACAAAGCCATTGATGAGTTTATTTGTTAAGGTTCAAAATAACAAACCAGCAACTGGAATGATATAATAGAATACTGAGAAGCAGATGACATGTTTCTTGAGCGAAAATATCACACTCACTAATAGTATGAAGCAATAGACTTTAGAAAACCGCCAGGGATATAATATTAGAAATACTATTATTGAGGATCTTGTTCAATATTTCTGAGAAAGCTGTAAATCGTAATTTTAATTTGCTCACGTATTTGGATACGTATTATAGGATAGTCTTCATACTTAGGATCAGTTTTAAATTAACATTTGCATATTAACCTTGAAACTGTAATCGATTATGTAGGTTAATATATGGATCATTTCTCGTCATTATTAACTTAGGTTATCCATTTCATCATATAAATATGTATCTTTAGTGATTTCTTTCAGATAACCAAATCTGCAAAGCTGTTAACCTGCGCAATCTATATGAAGGCAATAAGAAGAATTACATCTGGTATAACGTTGTAGTTCATTAATTAACTCGATATAATCTTGTAAGTCATCACACATTTCTTCAGAACGTTTCTGACAGGAATGGCAATCAGGTACAAATTCGTCAAGACCAGAATTAATCGTGGTAACTAACGAATCTAAATGCTGTATCACGTTACTTATCATATTCTCATCTTTCATTTTTTCCAATCAATTATTGATGCATCCTTTCTTTTTCCAATATTATGTACATGAGTACTTTCACAATGTTGCCATTCAAACCTATACTACCAATCTTTAAGATTCCATTTCAAAATCAACACCTTTTCCAGGAATAATTTGAAACATTTCTCAAAAAATCATACAGCAATATGAAGATTGTCAATCAAGTCCTGGCGTCTATATCTATTAGATTCCTGTTCTGTTAAAGAACTATCTTCATATGGTATACATAAGTTTATGTAGGTCTAGCCAATATAAGTCAATGGTACTGAAAGTAAAAAATACCATACTCTGTGATCCCAACTGTCTAATAATATCAACCAGCTCGAATCGTCACCTAATCTAAAACTGACATGTTTCTCATAAGGCTTCACCAAATCACACAATTCTGTCTGCCATATGATTATCCTTTTCAACCATCTCCTTTACTTCTTTGACGATATACTGGTTTTCATCTAAATTTTGCTTTATATATACCTTCTCTTCTTGCAACGCTCACTATCACATTTGTGAATTTAACGCAAAATACTGCCAATAAGGATGATGAGCAAATCTTCCATTATTATATTTAAGCAAATGTGAAAATATTTAACAGATTTAACATCTCTAACATGGTCCAAATGAAGATCAGCATTTCCAATCAGATATAGAGTTAGAAAGACGCATGCAATATATCCAGGAGTTTGAAATTCATTAATTGGATTTCTATCTATGTTTGGCCACATAATGGAAAATTTGTTTTTTTGAATTCTATTGAGAATATCAGTAATGGCACGTTCTTCATTAAAAGATAGAAGAGGAGCAGGAATAAAGTTACTATTAATTGTTTCTTTAGAATTATCATCATCATCATTGAAACATTCTTTTACATTTTTAATTAGTGAAAGCTGATCATTTATCAGGTCATTTTCAGATAAGGATAACAATACTTCTTCATTAATAATAATATTGGTATAATAACAATTTTTTTTTAATTAATGAAGTGCACAAGTGACCTTACATTAAAATTTCAAAATGTAGAACCATTTGTAGTTTGACGATGTATAATGAGAATATCAAGTGATAATGGATTCTGAAAGAGTCACTTCGCAAATTCTAGCACATTTTGTGAAAAGTTAATAATATTATCACAGTATGCATACTGATCACCACGAAGATACCGTATTCCTCTGAAAATAAGCACCACATGATATATATAAATTTTTTAATATATACGTGATAAATAATATAATAAATTTCATGTGACAAATAAATAAATTACTATAAAAGGAGCATGTTACAGGGTGCTTATTTTTGGGAATATACGGTAATATACTAAAACAATAAGAAAGACTTACGCAATTAGCATTTCTTCTATTTTAGTAAGGTCTCGTAAATCAACTGGAACTTCACCTAGATCCATATTATTACTTGTAAAAAACTTTTTTATGGGATTTTTGTTAATGTGGTAGCAGCAACATTCTCCTCACATAAGTTCAATGGATGGAAAGCATTCATTACACACAGGACAAGTATTATTCATTAAATTGTTAATATTAGTGCGAAAGTTATGTAGAAGATTCTGATCAAATTCAGAAAGATGAAATTCATCAGTATCTTAGATTTATATCTGAGTTTCATCACGTCTGTTAAGACATTCATCAGTACTCTTTAAAGCACAGGTTTTTTTACGATATCATTCACAGTTTTTTCTTAGTTATACTTCACGCTGTTCTAGGATTTCGACTGCTCTTTTCACACGTTTATTATCTCTATCACAAATATGATGAGCTTCACATTTATCAGAATTCTCATTTGCTCTATTTTTTCATTTTTGTAGTGTATCACAAATTGGTTGGTTTTTCATTTGCATTTACAGTTTCAGAAGCGATTAATATTAATAAAAATAACAAAGTAATTTATAATGATCAAGCAATCCAAAGGAAATTTATTTGACTTTATTATGTATCATAAGAAAAGTTCACACTTTAAATTTAAACAATAAATTTTTTATTTTATGACCAGAAAAGTAATTTCATTTATATCTTTTTTCTTTAATTGACTTTTTATTACGAATTAATTTAATTAAATCACTAAAGATTAATAATTTGTTCTTTTAATTTTCCTAATAATTATTATCAATTAAAAATATCACAATAATTATAAATTATTAAAACTTTTAAGAAATTATTAAATATTAATGTGCGTATATATTCCAAATTATTATTAATTAAAATTTAACAAATATCAATGCGCATATTCCAAATTTTATTTTTAGAAAAATGTTTATTTCAATATATTACACAAGATCAAGTAATTTAATTGGTGGTATAAGCGTACAGACAGACATTATATGTATAATATGAGATCTAACTTGAAGTGTCTTATGCTTACGCTTTGAACAATCATACTTTAATATTTAAATATTATAAAAATTTATTTGAGTTGCTAAATATATATTACCGGTATATAAAATTCATATTGTTACTAGGTTTATTTTTGGTTATCTTAACATATAAGTTAAAAGGCTATAGCAGTTAATTTTATACGTTAGAATTTTAATCTTAGGATTTTCTCTAAGTCTTATAGGTATTCGTTATACTTGAATTAACTCAATAATTTATCATGTCTTAAAATTTAAGATATATTAGTTAAACTCATAATGACAAACTCAATAGTAAGTTAATGTAAGGTATTATAACAAATTCTAGATAATAGACAATATTGAAAGAAAATGTAAATTTATATAGATTTAAATTGATTCCTTTATTTATAATTTGTAATTTGCAGAAGAGTTAGAAACTTACAACTAAGTTAATTTACAACTTAAGCAAAAAGCTATTCTATTTATACAAAATGAATTTATTACAGCTAACTATTTACTATACTATAAACTAACTATTTTAGTAAATTTTGCTTATAAAATAATAATAAAAGATAATAAAATAAAGATATAAAATAGAAGGTAAATTATATCGATGATAAAAATATAAGAAGTAATAAAAATAATAAATATGTAAAGAAATTAATAAAATAAACTAATCAAATAAATCAGATGAATCAGGTAAATTTTGTAAATCCTGCAAATTAAATAAATCAGCCTGATTTTCTAATGCAGTATGTTGATTAAATTCTTTCTTAATATAATCTACATGAAATTAAATCCAATGACTTTATAAATCATTTTTTAGAACAAATTTTTAACATTAACAATATATATAATGTTATTATATGTATATTAAATTTATGTGCACATATTATATAGCATAAAATATGTATAAATAATTACTAAAAATAGATAAATTATATATAAAAATAGATAAATTATTTATAAAAATGTAAATATTATATAACATATGCATTAATTTTCTATTTTTAATGCACATAATTTTTGGTCTAAATTTTATATATTATATATCACTTTAATTATAATATATATATTATACAGTAATACAATATTTATATTATCACATTTAACGTAACTATTTATCAAGAAATTAAGAAATTCATTCTAATATACTTATGTTATTATATTATATATTTTTCATTAGTTAAGAATTATGTATATACATTTATTACAATATATACTACTGATTTTATTTTCAGAAAATAATTATTTAATATCCAATTAAATTCAACTAGTATATATTATTATACATTTTATTTAAAATTTTAAATGATTTAAAATAATCTGAAAATTTTTAATTCAGATTAACTTTAGATTATACAAAAAAATCAATCTGAAAATTTTCAGTTCAGTTTAGATTTTTTTCAGATTATAAATTTAATCTGAACTGAAAAAATTCTGAATCAAACTGAAAATTTCAGATTAATCTAAAATTTTAGATGGTATTATAGGACTAATTAATTAAATAATAATTTATTAGATTATAATTGTTGAGAAAGTAATTTATTAAATGATAAAATAATATTATATAGGATAATATATTAATTAAAGCATATTAAATCATGTGATTAGACACAGTAAATGTTTGTTAAACAAATATAGTTAGATAGGCAAATGATGTAATTAGTTTGATAATGTAAATACTTATAATTAACTATATTTAGAATACAGAAGACGGAAGATAAAATACTGAAAAACAGAAATAAAAAATAGAAATACAAATAGAAATAATAGAATTACAGATGGCAATGGCATTTTTAATAGCAAACAGTACAGAGTTAGTCAACTATATTAGGACTATATTGATTATTATAATTAGTTTAGTATTACATGATATTTTTAATATAAAAAGGCTGGAGTTTTTGGAAAGTTAAAAAAGAGGGAAGTTAATGGTCTTTTAGAAAATTTGAAGGAAATTAGAAAATAATTATTTTTAATAAAAACAACCTTTACCCTTAATCTTTACTTGTATTTCTTGAAAAATTAATAGTTAAGAACAGATTTAATAAACTGAAAGGAATAATATGGTTTGCTCTAATTTTAAATAAGCACTTATATCTTACTGTTTGATATCTTTAGAATCGTTAAGTATTATGAGTAAATAAATCAAGTGTGACAATGGTTTATTTCAAACATATGATAAGAAAATTGTTTATTTGAAATGATAATATTAATTGTTTATTTGAAATGATAATAATATTATTTTAGATAAATAATAATAATATCATTTTAAATGAATGATAATATTATTATTTCAAATGAATGATAAGAAAATTATTCATTTGAAATGATAATAATATTATTTTAGATAATGATAAGAAAACTGTTCATTTAGAATGATAATATCAATCATTTCAAATGAATAATTTTTTTATCATTTGTTTAGAATAATAATATTAATCATTCTAATTAAATGATTTCTTATCATTTATTTAAAATAATAATATCAATAATTTCAATTAAATGATTTTATCATTCATTTAGAATAATAATTTAATTATTATAATTGAATGATTTCTTATTGTTTATTTGAAATGATAATTTCAATCATTTCAAATAAATGGTTTCTTATCATTTATTTGAAATAATAATATCAATTATTTTAAATAATGATTCTTTTATTATTTATTTAAAAAAGATAATTTAAATTATTCTAATTGAATAATTTTATCATTCATTTAGAATGTTATTAGCATTCTAAATAAATGATATTATTATCATTTCAAATGAATATTATCATTCCAAATAAATAATTTTCTTATCAATCATTTATTTAGAACAATTGATATTATCATTCTTAATAAACAATTTTCTTATCATTCATCTAAAACAATATTCTTATCTTTCTAAATAAACAATTTTCTTATTATTCATTTAGAATGATAATTTAATCATTCCAATTGAATAATTCCTTTATTATTTGTTTAAAATATTATTATCATTCTAAATGAACAATTCTTTTATCATTCATTTGAAATGATAATTTTAATCATTTAAAATAAACAATTTTCTTATTATTTATTTAGAATATTATTATTATTCTAATTGAACGATTTTCTTATTTTTTATCTAAAATGATTGATATTTTTATTTCAAATAAATAATTTTCTTATTATTCATCTAAAACATTATTATTATCATACTAAACAAACAATTTTTTATCATTTATCTGAAATGATTGATATTACTATTTTAAATAAATAATTTTCTTATTGTTCATCTAAAATGTTATTATTATTATTTTAAGCAAACAATTTTTTTATTATTCATCTAGAATAATCAATATTATCATTCTAATTAAATAATTTTCTTATTATTAGTTTGAAATGAACTATCAAAATTTCAAATTAATCTGAAATTTTCAGTTCAGTTCAGATTTTTCCAGTTTACAGTTTAGTTCTATTTCAGATTAACCTATAATCTAAACTAAACTAAACTATTCAGAGCATTAATTTTATTATATTATTTGATTATTTTATATTTGATTTTACGATAAATTTAATAATGATGAATATATACTATTCCTTTTTTACTTTCTTTTTTCTTCACTTTTAGAATCTCTTTTAGAATGAATTTGTATACTATTAGCACTAAAATAATTTTATTTTTTATTTTTTAAAAAAATATAAGATCCTATCAATTATCACATATATAATTATAATATAAGAGATAAGTTTATAACTTATAACTTTTCTTATATACTTTAAAAAATGTCATGAAATTTTATATAATATAATTTGTCATCAGTATTATTTATCTTCACATTTTATTTTTATTAAATATTATGAGAATTTAGAAAATTTTCAGTAATGAAGTCCAATTTATTATTATTATATGTCACATATGTACCATAATTAATTTTAGGCAAATGCTATAATGTTAGTCATTTTATGATATTTTTTGAAGATTATATAGGAAAAATCAATAAGATATTAGTATACTTGTCTCAAAATAAGAATTTTTTAACCTTTTGCAAAAATGTATAAAGACAACCATCTTTATTTTAATGATATTCACAAGATGTATAAGTAATCTTTATCATATTTATCATAATTATTTTATTAGTATAGTAAAGTTATATCAAATAAAGCTTTATTATATTTGAGTTTTTTAAAGTTTCTTAATAATATTATGATAATAAGTTAGATCATTTTCTATAAGGTCTTACTCTATGATATACTCATAAGGTTAATTATGTATCTATTATTTTTTTTTTTAGAAAACTAATTTTTTTATATGATGTACTAGATCAATATTACTTACCTTAATAATAGTTATTAGATTTACATGATAATTTAAATAAAAAAAAATAATATTTAATTAATTTAAAATATAGATAATTAAAAATAAAAAATACTTAAATTATATAATGTAATAGATTTATTGATATAGAAAGTAATAAAGTAGTATGTTTATTATTAATATAGTAAAATATGCAAAAGAATTATTTACTAAATAAGTTATAAATTAAAATTTTAAAAATTTCATATAATAAGAATATGATGAAATTATTCAAGTATTTGCATTTATTGCATATGTATTTGCATATTTATGTCAATAAATATTATCTTAATTTGATAAAACAATTTAAGTATAATTAAAATTAATATAAATAAAGACAAGTAGTAAATAAAAATAAATAATAATTCATTAAAATATTTTATTAATAAATAATATATTATTATAATATTTCTTAATAATATTTAATAAGTGTATTTATTTAAAAAAAATAACAAAATTAAAAAGATATGTGAATACATGCTTATTATGTAATATTAAAGAATGTCAAAAATTCTATAAATTTTTTTTATAAATATAATTTAAACTAAATAAATATTTTATTATTTGATTTAAAATTTTAATAATAATTAAATTATTATTCAAAAAACTAGTCAATAAATTTTTGATAAATATTTAATTTATTCTAAAAACCTAAAATATCA